GGCCCGCTACGCGCGTGCGCAATGGCCCAAGACCTTCTTAATCAGCTATGTCTCATCCATTCACCTTCTACTCGACCCATCCTCACCCCGATTGGTGTCAAAAGACTTACCCTTTTCGTCTTCCCCTTCCTTTCCCCGCTCCTCCACCCATTCCCCAACCCGCTCTCATCATCGACACCCCCTCCACCATCCACCATCCACCACCATCATCACGCTTGACCGTCATCGTCTTCGACAACGTCTCGGGCACCGTCGCAACATCGACCTGGCTTATCCCACCCCTTCGCAGGACTCGCTCTTCGTCTATCGCTTGCGACTCCCTCCACAAACCCGGATCATCTCCCAGCACTCACCCACCAGTTCACAATGGCTTCCGTTCACGCTTCGTCGTCCAGCCGTCAGAGCAGCGCTATGCGTCGTCATCCAATGAGCTTGATCCCCAAGCTGTGCCACGATCCCGCGCTGTTGGACATGATCAAGATGCCCGTGTCTAGGGACATGGTCGGTGAGTCATTCCTTTACTGCACGAATGGTAGTGCGGCGCAGCATGACTGACACGCACATGCACCTTCTCACCAAAGTATATCTTGCTTGCAAAGCCGCCCACGTCATCCAATGTGGCACTACATCAGGCCTCGACACACCACCCGCTACACCTACAAAGTCGCTGGCGGAAGCAGAGCAGGATCCAGCGGGCAGAGCAGAGGTCAATGGCTTGCCTTCGTTGGAGACATTCATCGCATACCTGGTAGAAAAGAGCAACGTGCAGGCTCCCACCCTGCTCACCACGCTCGTCTACCTCGACCGTCTCAAGTCCAGACTGCCACAGGTTGCAAAGGGTGAGCCTCACCTTGCTCGCAGCCTTACCAGCGTCCAGGCGCCGCGACTGACCGTTGCGCTTCTCCTGTTTACCGTCACAGGCATGCACTGCACTCGTCACCGTGTCTTCTTGGCCACCCTCATCGTGGCAGCCAAGTACCTCAACGATTCCTCGCCCAGAAACAAGCATTGGACCAAATATTGCAGTCTCTTTGCGCTTGACGAGGTCAACCTCATGGAGAAGCAGCTTCTGTACCTGCTGGATTACGATCTGCGCGTCAACGAGGACGAGCTTCTTGAGCACTTTTCTCCTTTCCTCGTCGACCATGCAGAGGACCGTGCTACGCGCGGTCGCCGTCAAATGGCTCTCCGCAGCTGCGAGGCCGGGCGAGAGTGCGAACGCTACGAGCGCGCGAGTCAGCGCCGCGTCTACTTGCGTGCATTGCCTGCAGAGGAGGTTCCTTGCTGGAACGCGCACAAGACCGTCCGCGCGCCGTCGTCTGTCGCTCCTTCCATGGGACGACCACCCACCAACGCTCCACCGTCCCCAGTCTCGCCTGCGCCGATTGCCCAACGCCGCACTGCCAGCGCCATGATGAGCCGCCAGCAGAGCCACGAGTCTACCGGCAGCTCTGCGTCGTCGGAGGCTGAGCTCACTGACGACAATGGATCGAGCAGCTCCTCGGCTGAAGACGAATACGACGACGACGAGGAAGACTTTGACCAAGGAGAAGATCAGTACATGGAAACGAGCGAGATGCAACACGGTGCCGGAACTGGCTACGGCCTGGAGAGCGACGTTGTGCAGCCTACCAAAGCAGTACCTTCGATGCACCGCTACATTCAAAGCGCTATTCCAGCAGGATTGCGCAAGAGCGCCAGCGGCATGCCAGACATGTCGGCTCTTCAGGCTCAGCAACAGCAACAGTCTCACACCATTCGCACCAGTCGCAGCAGCGGCAACTTGCTCGCTCGCATGCTCGGAGGACACCAGTCCTCTGGCTGCTAGTCGATGTCGCCTCGACACGGCTCCCGCCTTCCAGTCCGGTCTGCTCTCATCTCCTTCAACTTGTCTTCATACGAACTCGTCCAAACGATCCGAATCGTCTTTCGATCAGTCATCTGCTCCTTCAATGCCAACATTAGCCTCCTCATCGACATCGCTCCGCGGTCATTGTTTCGAACACGGTATCAAATGTGCAATATCTCATTATCACAGTCTCGTAGCAAGTTCAAAGATCTTCTCCGGGCCCAAGCAAGATCTCCATTGTACCCTCCTCATCCCCAACACCTTTCATCCCCACACTCGACGTCACCTATCACATTTATCTGTACGTTGCCACGAAGCAACCTCGACACACTCATTGCTTATCCCACACTGAGTCAATTGCGGAGCTGCGCAAATTGGCCCACGATTTTGAATGTCAATGCAATGCTTGCATCCATCCATCCATCCATCCTAATCTCCTCAAGAGGCGTTTGCACGTGGGCTTTGGTGATCGAAACTGAAATCGGTAAACGAGGCAGGTGCGACGCGCGCAGGGCACCGTTTGAGGGGCCGATGTGCCTGTTCCAAAGCGAGCGACCGTTGCAGAAACATCTTGAGCCGAGGGATCGGCAGGCTACCTGGGTGATAGACTTCACACGGCACCCCTCTGAGCTGACGCGCCGGACTTGGTGGACTTTGCATTGGCAGGTTTCCCGATCCGCTGTGCATCTTGGTCAGCGCATTGTACTAATATCCGGCGGTCTAGACAGCCTTGGAGG